CGTTATTATCGCGGGAAGACGAATTCTTATCGTGTGGAGAATTTTTACCGGTATATCGCAAACGATAAGATATCACCCATCCCTACCACTGACATGCACACATGTGATGCTGCGGCCGCATACACGCAGACCCACACAGCACCAGATGGCTGGAGGATTACACTGAAGCTCGGTCCCTCCCCCCAACACCAGCATCCTGCTATATATATCCGTCTAACTTTTCACTTTCCCCTTGTGCCTGTGTGCTTCTGCTCTACATGTGGAGAACAAACTTCTTAAAGGGGTCATATGATGTTGATAAAAAGAACATTATTTTGTGTATTTGGTGTAATGAAATGCCGTCTTTTGCGCGCTCAAGTTCGTTATTTCAAATGTAGCCGCGCGGCAGGCGCGCTCATAATGGAAGCGACGCGGTGCGACGCGCACGCAGTGCGACGCGCTCATTTTTTCCAGGCGCATCCGCGCCGCATCGAGATAAAAACAGGAAAAAAAGCAGAAAGCGGCGCGCCTAGCGTTTTCCACGCGTTTTTAGGCGCGATATGTCAATGGCCCCTTATACTGTCTTTTTACGCATTGCGTTGCATCGTAACTTTACAGATCTTCTTTATGCACCAAGAGCTTGTAACACTCCAAAGAGAAAGGAAAAATTGAAATCGCATCATAGGACCCCTTTAACAATCCGCAGCAACACACAAAACACTGCAAATCGAATCTGCTAAAACATTACCATGCATCTCTTTGCATACACTTTCTTCATACCCTATGCCTCAACTGTAAAACACGGTCTGGAGCAAAAATGCTGATAGAAAAGGCAGTGTAAGTAGGGTAAAGAGTACATAATAATCCACTGTTACATTCACAATGAGACCAAATCATATTTATTTTGTTCTCTTATTCCCAGAATATCTCTCTATTCATCATCGAGATGTCAGTCTCTTTTGATTTTCTGTACATGCTTCCTCTCTCATGACCGCTGACAGCATGACAGATCTTTGAGACACAAAAGACCTCACAGAACAGCAATTTACTCTAGTCCAGACAAACTAAAGTCAACTGTATTAGATTTATAAAGAGAACAAACTCTTTTAGACAGTTTAAAACTGCTGGCATGCTCATATGCATGCGTCGCTGCAAATATTCAGTTTCCATATTATTTCTAAGAGCAGAATATTTAGCCTAGCTGTTGTAAATAATTTCAATAGTCAATAGCTCAACAGAACTGATAAAATAACAAGACTTTTAGACTTCTGAAGAAATGTAAGTGGTGTTTGCACATGCAAAAACTAGCACCAATATATGGTGCTCTAGGTGGTTGCCAGGGTGTTGCTAACACTGTTAAAGTCACGATGAAACAGAAGTATAAGTTCTTCCATATTGTGATTTCATGCGACTTTAAACATGCAGTTATAGGGTGATCTGAGTAGTTATACAACAGCAACACTGCTTTAACAAAAAATCAAAACAGCAAGACTTATTTAACTTCAAAACAAACATTTTAAATGCTGTCTAATCGCTCTCGGTACTTTGATGTCACACACAGAACGGTCTGCAGTTCTGCTTCAAGTGTACCAGTTACAAACCAGAAGCATATATACACAGGTATACATTAAATAGAAGACAGTGCAATAACAAGAAAACTGACAAATATTTAAAGGTCCCAAACACTTACCTCGCACGCACAGTAACGACATTGCTGAGATTTTAGTCCAACACAGCACGATTGTGACTTGATCACCCCCTGTGGCATTTGTCACTTTATTTTCTCCACTTTCCAAATTATATTTGAGGTTGCGAGGAACAATCGTAGATGTTTAAATTCATCATAACAATAAGAGTGAAGTACCGATGTGTTTGCAACGCGTCAGGAGATATATATACACAGGTATGCAATAAAAAGAAGACAATGCAATAACAAGAAAATGGATAAATATTTAAAAGTCCCAAACACTTACCTCGCACGCACAGTAACGACATTGCTGAGATTTTAGTCCAGCACAGCACGATTGTGACTTGATCACCCCCTGTGGCATTTGTCACTTTATTTTCTACACTTTCCAAATTATATTTGAGGTTGCGAGGAACAATCGTAGATGTTTAAATTCATCATAAACGTCCCTCCCCCTAGTTATTTTTCAGCAAATCCCGGAAGTATTGTTTTTAAAGGGACAGAATAATTTCATGGGCGAGGGCTTTGGACCAAGAGCCAGGCAGAAAATAGCAAAGGCCCGTTGGCAGAGTTGCCTATAGGACGTGGAAAGGAGAAGAAAGACAATCAAACAGCTTTGTCGACATTTGGAAAGCAGGATCTTGTATCCTCATCGGTCAGATATATCTTCGTTACACTGTGGGATTTCAACGCAGATAGTTTGACGTCGATTACACTGAAGATCTGGAGATCCTGTCTGCTGTCTAAAATAGGATCAAACTCTTCCTCCAGATATGAAGGGAATGTTAGTTTCCTGACTGCTGCAGCCCTTGTTATTGTCATCGTTATATGTTTGCTGTGGGTGAGTTCTCTTTGTGCTGCCATCCACCTTTAGATCACTCTCATTTCACCTATATAGAGTATATATAACTCATTTCACACATATAGAATAAGTCTCTGGGATCAGAGATTATAATAATGAAGGATGGATTCTTAATTTAAAGTTACAATGTACCGAAACAATTTCAATAATCAATCATATATATAAATACCTTATTAATCTAAATTCTAAACGCTCTCTTTACATCTAAGATTAAAGGATGAAATGATCTTCCAGTCTTATATAAAGATTGCCCGGGGCTTTTCCACCTATTGTGTTTGAAATGATTTCACGTGTGTTTGATAATGGCAGATTAATCATAGCCTGCACACACAATGCACACAGGAGCTTCTGTATTTTCATGCGCAGGGGGGCGTTTCTGCTTTGTCTGATTCATGCTATTTCATCCACTGAAGGCAACTTTCATCAGTGCACAAGGCACATGCATTTCTCATCCCAGTGCCTCCTTTTCTTTATCTTTTAGTTTTTATTACATTGTTCCTTTTTGATTTATTGCATGCTTTGTGCTTGAAGTGTGCATGAGTCTGTTTCTCTAATGTTACACCCCTAGCCATGGGCCCATATGAATCATGCCCGGCTTAGTAGCACAGTTTATTTTAAAAGGTTGCCTTTATGCTTCACTATAGGCTGCTGTTGCCTCAACACTGTGAGGATATTGTGTTGTCCTTGTAGCCTAATTATTATCAATAATACCAATATTTCATGGAGAGTTTGAGCATCAGAGTTTTGTCAGTAGGTGGGTGGGTGTGCGCACACAGGTTGCAGAATATGTAAGAGGCATCCATCCTGCTCATTACTGATGCCAGACAGGACGTCAATGGAAAGGCACAATGGAGAGCTGCTGAGCGATTTCCATTGTCCAAAAAAACGAACAAAGAATCTGCAGTGACCCAAAGTGGGCTCTTTCTTTCTGTAAAGGGCTCAAATGTCCCAAAAGGGCTGCAGGTAGAATGTGCCCTTCATCATCAGTTTGAAGCATGAATATTAAGAGCTTCAGATCAGCTCCTTAATGCCCTTGCTGTGTGACCTCTTTCTGTGTGACCGTCAGCAGAAGTATGTATTACATCATTGGGTTAGGGAAATGCACAGTAGGAATAGCTGCAGCAAATCTGAAGATAAGCATGTCAAGCTGGTGTAGGAAGCAAATGCGTGTTCAGTGTGAGGTGCCTTCGTATGCGGCATTAAGGCCTGTCTCCTCCCTATCTGTAATTGATACGTGTAAATGTTGAATGAGGGGTTTCGATTCAACATCTTCCCTAAAAGCAATGTATTCTCTTTCTCTCATCTTGATGAGAATGAGGGTGGTGCCGGTTCATTAACACTGCTCTTCTGGTGTTGCTTGGAATTCAGTCTTTTTTGCAGACTGGCCCTGCTACTGGGTTTGGGCTGTTTGAAATGGATCCTTGTTCTTGTTTGAGGTGTGCTAAATAAATCTGAAATAAATAAAAAGAATGTTAGATGAAAAACTTAAACTTACAAAAATTCAATTTTAAATGGGCGATGATGATTTGGATAACCAGTTTCACTGCTTCTTGATTCCGATGCATCTGTATTTATGTGTCTCTGCACACATTTGATTTTCTCTCACCGCTAGAAAAACAAACCTTGAATTCTTTAAATAGCCATAGAGATGCCATGGATGGTTAACCGTGATAGTCAAACCCACTCTACTGGTCACCTGTCTGGGCATTTTTATCACATTTTAACCATCTCATGATCTGAGATCAGCTTTAGGATTTCTCCAGTGGTGGCTTAGATAAGGATTTCAATAATAGAAGCTTGTCCCATATCAGTATCACAGGGATAAATGGGTGCATGTGCAGGCATGTGCTTTTATACAGCTGTGTGTGCACAAGTGTGATAAAAAAAAAAAGCCAGCATGAGAACAAGGTACTAAACCGCTAAGCTGTTTATCATTTATTTAAATTCGACTAGCCACTTAAACCAGCAGAATTAGCAGTAGTTTGATAATTGCCATAGGCTGTGGCTCTGGTGTGTATATATAAACTCAATCATTTAAATAAATGATATTGTCACACCAAATTAAATTTATCCTGGCTAGAATATCTTATTAACTCTTAATGTTCTATAAAATGCTGAAGTTCTGCTGTATTGACACAGAACAGGCTACATTTAGCAAGCCTAAGATGTATACTCTGTATATTATAGTGCATTGCTTTTTACAAGGCTGATTGCAGGTTAGCGTGAGTTTGTGTGGACTGTGTGTGTGTGTGTGTGTGTGTGTGTGTGTGTGTACTCTTTGTACTAGAATAACAAATTAACATATCTTTTCATCATCTTTCTGCCTCCAACCCAAGATCCCTTTTTCCCCTGCAGTTATCTTTCATTTCACCTTTGCCCTCATATCCACCTTCCACCATCTATTCCCTTTCTCTCATTACGCCCTTACTCTGTTACAAAGAAGTAAATTTGTCACCCGCCACCCCCACCTTGGAGAGCGTGTTACCAAGGGCATGTTAGTTACCGTCCTCATTCATCAGTGTCAGGTGCTAATCTCTACCCAGGGACTAACCTTAATATCTCGCGTCAGCTATGTTTTTGTTATTGTAGCGACATTTACAGACTCCCACAGCTGAATCCTCATTAAGGACATGGTGTGCTTCAGTGCCTTTTGTTGGGTAGTATAATTTTATTGATCTATTTATAGAGTACATAATTTGGCATACAGTTTGTTATAGAGGTATGTATCTGACAGACGCACACATCATTCAAGATTGTGCAAGTACAAGATTTCTGTACCATTGCTCTAAATAGCTCTAAAGGCACCTTTTCTTCTGGAAACAGGCTGAATGTGCTCTTCTTTAGAGCACATTCAGCCTGTTTCTCTTGCTCTTTGCAACATCAGAACGAGAGAATGATGAAGTGAGAAAGTCTAAAAGTAAGTAAACTGAAGGTGTGACCAGCAGAAATCACATCCTGTGTATTTCCATCACTAGTAAATTTAATTTAATTTTTAATTTAATTTAGGGCAGAGAGCAGAGGATTGCACCTTTTGTGTGTTCTCACTTGGCTCATTGAAGTGGAAAACAGGAAGTTGAGCAGCTGACTATAATAGCGTCTGTCTGGTGGGACTTCAGTGGGTTTAAATGGCTGAATGCAATGCATGTAGACTTTTTTTGTTTAAAACTTTTATTGATAATTATTATAGATTGTATAGGCCCGGTTTCACAAAAGGGCTTAGCTTAAGCCAGGACTAGGCCTTAGTTAAATTAAGATATTTAAGCAACTTTTACAAAAATGCCTTAGAAGAAAACATTACAGGTGTGCATCTTGACACAGAACAATGACACTGACATATTTTAAGATATGTCAGAGCAAGATATTTTCAGTTGAGACCGCTCAAACATGCATTTTAGTCTGGGACTAGCTTAAGCCTTGTCTGTGAAACCGGGGATAAAGTATTTTATGCTCATCAAGGCTGCATTTCTTTGAATAAAAATGCAGGAAAAGCAGCAATATTATGAGATATTATTACAGTTTAAAATAACTGTTTATTTTTTTTAATATACGTTATAAATCTAATATATGTAATTGTATTCCTGTGATGGCAAAACTGAATTTTGAAAACCGTTGTACTGCTTAATATTTTTGTGTAAAGCATGATTATTTTTTTCTTTGATTTTTTTTCTCATTCTTTTTTCTTTTTTTCCAGGATTCTCTGATAAATGATAAAGTGCGAAAGAACAGCATTTATAAATGTGTAAATATCTTCACTGTCACTTTTGATTTATTTAAACAGGCAAGCACCAGATTTTCTACAAAAAAAGGGTAACACTTTACAATAAGGTTCATTAGTTAACTACTTTAGTTAGCATGAACAATACTTCTACAGCATTTATTAATCTTAGTTAATGTTAATTTCAACATGTAATAATGCATTATTAAAATCAAAAGTTGTGCTTGTTAACATTAGTTAATGCACTGTGAAATAACATGAACAACTGTATTTTCATTATCTAACATTAACCAAGATGAATAAATACTGTAATAAATGTATTGTTCGTTGTTTGCTCATATTAGTTAATACATCAACTAACATTAACTAATGGAACCTTATTGTAAAGTGTTACCCACAAAAAAAGTGTAAAAATCAAGTTGTTTGTGTCAAATTTGACAGTCTGAGTGTGTTGACTGAAAAGGGATACAACACACACACACACTTAAACATGAAGAAAGGGAAGGGTTAGAATGTAGCTGTGAGCTTTAACAGTCCCTCATAGACCAGTTGATCCCAGCTACAGCTCAGAATAGCTGCCAGGAAAGTGTTTTGAAAGAGAATCATAAGAGCGCAGTGTT